AAAGTTAGAATTGATCTCCAGGAACTAAGTCTCATAACTATATTTATATATATATGTCCACGAGACTTTATTATCTAAACTGCCTAAACATAGACAGTTATCAAACCATGTAAAGATGATCAGAATGTTTACGTTACAAGAAACTACCTCACATCCATTATATAAAGAAAACACATTGAGTTTCGCATAATGATTTTTAAGTACTATTATTGTTCACTTACCATTACATAAATGTTACCGTTACATAAAGTTGTACTGTCTAGTATGCTTATCAATAGTTGTTGACAGTTTTCTTTTACTATTTTCCTTCACGCCTACTTATACGATCACCATTTAGAATGACTTGAGAAAGAAAAGAAACTAACCGTTTGTTGAGATCGGCCTTTATTTATTTGTTTTTGTCTGAATTCTATTTTCTACATTTTTTTTCCAATTATTTAGCTTGAATTAATAACCATTATTAATACTATAGTTCATTTCTCTACCTAACAGACAAAATAGATGACGGGTATACAGTTTTAATCACCTTATATACAGATAAGTTAAGAAACGCTTTCACTTAGTGTTTATTTTCATCTTTTCATTCATTTTTTCCTCATCATTAGTGGTTTTATTCCATATTATATTTTCGGTACAATATAGAATTCTAAGCACGAGGTATTTCAACAAGTTTCCTTTTCTTTATTGTTGTTATTGTGATTAGTTAGGATTATGCAACCATTAAAAACAGCATAGTTATCTACAACTAATGTGTTTTCATTACTTTGTCTGGATAGAATATAATCAAATAACCTGATTCATTACTACAATTACTTTTCAACGTGACAATTGAGTGACAGATGTAAAGGTTGGCTACAATCTGTCTCTTATTCAAATTGTCGATAAACAAAACTTTACTTCGTTGTTTTAACACACTAATAGATGGTATTGTATCAATAGATCCTTTAATAACCATAATATATAGTCTAACTGATTCAGTTACTTTTACCTTGTAAGTGTATTTAGAAAAAGTAGGCATTTAGACTTACTGTTGCAAGCATACCCTATGAATGAAAAACCATTTAATTAGGTAAGAGGATTCGCGTGGTATGTAGCATTTACATAATCTTTGCAATGAAAATATTAGTCAACTGAAATTTGTTCACAAAAATATATTTAAGCTGTTATTTTAAATAAGGATAATTGAAAATACCTAAACTGTTTACTTTCTAATACATATCAGAAGGAAATACAGTCCTCTATTACAATAAAACAAAACACAGTTGGAGATGGATGGAAGAAAGTTAGGAGCGGCTAAACTAAAAAGTGGCATCAATTTATAAGGTCACTAAATTTTATCCTGTGCCATGTTAATAGATGTAGACTACTTGTTTGGGGTCCACGCAACTATTGTAACCAATGGTTGGAGACTCTTGATCACATGGCTCAGAATCGATCACAATGGCATCGGTGTATACACTCTCTGTTTTCCCTTAAACCATGAGATTAAAATTGCTTTATATCTTTCTTTCTACGAATTAATTCTTTCTTCCTGTACTATATCCTTATATGCAATCATTCTTTTATATATTACTACCATTGAATTAACTACTTCTATGAATTCGGTGTTCATCTTGTTGTGCTAATGAAGTGTGGCAACTAGGACCAATACATATATGTGTCTGGTCCTACGTTGTAGCCGACTGAACAAACATTTTGATATTTCTTACTTTTTCATGCTTTTGATATAATAATTAGGAACCATTAATCATAATTTTCATAATATAAACAATCCTAATAATGTGTCAGTTGTAAATAAAAGGGTGGACACCCAATAACCTAAAACTACTTTAAATAATCGAAATTAATAGCGCTGTTATACCTTTCAAGGTGATTTTCCTTTTTTGTGATAAAGAAAGGTTATGATACGAATTGTATACTAATTGAATAAACAATATAAAAATGTAATGAGTGAAAACGATTACTTTTGGCAAGTGTATTAGTTAACGAGAAAATTGATAATTACTGTTATCATAACCATCAAAAATACTTGTAAATACATTTACGTTGAATACGGGTTCAAGGTTTATGAACATCTGGCTTTAGAGTCCGTACAACAAATTCCATGTTGACAATATAATCTATTATTTATAATCAATAAAAGACCAAGTATTACCATTACACTCAATGTTAATAAATTTGCTTAACCATTGACTTATGTTAATAAGCATATTTCCGAATCTCATTTATCTCATTTATCAACCTGTGAGATTGAGATTATTTGAGAGAATTACATACTTTCTATTCAACGACAATTTGAGAAAAATCAAAAGTTTAAAGGGTTTTCAATATGTTATATGAGTATTAAGTTAATGAATAGCATAATATACATTGTTTACAAAAGTTAGCTGAATTATTTTTTCCTCATAAAGTTAATGTGATGTTAATAGGTAATAAAACAATTAACTTTTTTAAAATTACTAATTAACTGTAACATTTCTGGTGCCTTTTTTTTATTGACGTTGATCCAAGATACATGTAATAGTCCATTGAATTTAAATTCTGAACCTGTGGATCAGATTATTTTCTAATTTCTTTCTCATATACTATTTATTATCCATTTTAATTTTGATTTCTTTTGATTTTTTTTTGTTGTGAATTTATAATAATTCAAACTGATATATTAATGATAATAACCATAATTATGAATTTTTTTCATTACTGAATGCATTTTATTCTGCAAACATCAAGATATATACGTTTTCTTTTATAGTAACCATATGATTTGTTGATCAATGGATTTTCTATTAAGTAGTTTCCCATAAAATAAATTATTTCATTGTACTTTTATATCTACATTATTAACATTGTATGTAAGCGAGAAAAGAAAACTAACGAATAAAGTTGAAATCTTTGTTGAAAATAAAAAAGATTGAAAAAGGTCATTCAAAGGTATTTGATTAGTAATTGTTTTAAGTATTACATTTACTATAAATAAAAATAATATATTTGTAATATCCCAATCAGTAGAAAATTGGATTTTCTGACGTTTCGTGGCTTAGTGTAAGTCACTTCTTCAGAGAATAAATAACCAAATTACATTTACTAACAATATTAAATACTTGGTCAGATAATTGAACTTCCGTTCTTATTGTTTTTTTTTATATAAAGCCTATTATTATGCCGAGAGTGTGTTTAATGTTGCAACCAATATAATTTCAACAATCAAATGTCTAGTGTAAATACCCTTCCTTATTTGATTAAATGTCCAACAAGAACCAATTTTAATAAATCGATATACATTGAAATTTGTTTGTGTTTGGAAGATAAAATCGTAAAAATATTATTATAAGTTAAGAGTTATTAAAATAGCAAAATAGCAAACAATATTACAAAGGTTTGTACTTCACTTTACATAATTTGAAATGAACAGTTTGGTAGTACATACAATATGATCCCAAGTTGATTACTTTTACCTGGAATCGATAAATGAGTTATTCAGAACTTTTCAAATGAATAATGGAGAATGATCTTACAAACGTAAAAACTCTAGAAAATAAAATAAGTCTTCTAGGTACAGATGATCGTCAGTAGATAAAACATTACAGAGTATTGTGTTAAAGACAATAGGCATAACTTAAATACAACTGAGAAAATCTTGATTTCATATATATATATATATATATATATGTTTTAGGAAACAGGCATAAAATGAGATATTATTCAATTGAATACTTAAATAAATTTCCCATAGTTCATGTGCTGATATTCGTCTGTGATAATAACCATCTAATACTCTGTTGAAAGCCATGTTATTTTCTGTCTTCGATTCTCTCTTTAAAATTCAATTGAAATCTTTTTTATCCTTTTTCTTAGTACAACTCAGGTATCCATCCTAAGTGAATTTTTTTTTTAAATTTATCAATTGTGATCAATAGTTTCCTGCCATTATGAAATACGGTGTTCAGTGTATCTTATATTTATACTCAACTAATTAATGTATGTATATTTTTAAGGTTATCAAACCCTCTGTAATGCATTCAGGAAATAAAGGAACATATATTTATTCTTTCTCTGTACTAAAATTTTCTAAATGTTATGAAGGAGTAGATAAGTAGCACTGTAATTGACCTATATTTTTTTAATCAGAGCAATTTATTTTATTGCTAATGTAAATTGTAACTAATTCACCAACATCAAGTATTGTCTAACTCAGTGTATTCATATTTGATTAATGATTACATAAATAATCCAGGTATAACCAGTTCTATTTAGATATAGTTTTGAATTATTTATGGTGTATAACAGACAGTCTGTAGTCTCAATTTTCTCCCTTCCGTCAAACAAATCACAGTCTTTCGTGTGCCGGTACTATACTTTATGCATAACCTTGGGTGATTCTGCAAGCCACCCTGAGGAATTTCAATGATTTATTAGACAATCAAAGTGTATATGTTATGAATAAATAATTTATTGCAGAAATAAAAAATGGAACTCATAAAAACTACTTAAATGGTTGACATTGTTATAAAGATTCAAATTAGAGTAAGGTCTGCGATTATAATGAAGCAATGCTTTGCAGCCATTATTGCAGATAGTTCATTGAATTGAAAACTTAAATTGTTTAAGCTACTTTGAAAGAAAGTTATATTTTCCGTTGTCAAATAATTAATTTTCTCATCATTATCTTAGGAAATGCTCACAATCGTTCCAATTATCAATATAATGGTGTGTAAAAATCATGGAAGTTATCAAGATTACAGGGTTGTATATCCACAACCTTACAGGAAATTGAACCCAAGACCTTAAGGTCTCACAATTTTATTCAGTTCTTACATTATGATTTAATTATTTGCTGTGTATCCATAATTAAATTTTAAAATTTGTGCAGACATCCGAATGGTACCATCTTGAAATTGATTGGTTTGTTTGCAAAGTACAGTTTCACGGACGTTAATTCACTTTATGTAATTACTTAATTGGATTATGTTAATTCTTTTTCATTTTCTTTTTTTTTTGAGAAAACAATGGTTTAAACAAAGAAAATACTGATGATGGTAAATCAAATAATAATCAGTCCAAAAAACGTGTCAACTATTTATGTGGACCTGACGGTAAATTAATTGTTACTACTGCTTTAGCACCAGACTATGATCGAACAAATCAGTAAGTGTTCAAGTGAACTAAATTTCAATGTCAAATTATCATAATTCATTATCATAATTTACTGGACTGGAATCAATTACCAAATTTTAACAGACCCACTTAAGCATTAAATAATGGTTTAAATCAGATTTAACCCAGGGTATGCTAAAAAAAGAGCATACAGAAATCATTTCTCCGTTTACAATGGTTCTGTCAATAAGTTCGATTGATTATGATCATTGTCTTTAAAGTGAATCGATTTTCAGAAAACATCCTTCCTAAAGATCACAAATTCAGATCAGGAAAATGTCTATATATCCCTATTATCTCTTTTATGACTCATGAAACACGATTTAGGCAAGTTATACATATTTGAAGATAATTTTGCTATAATTACTAAATAATTACGACTTTTTGATAATCCAATCAGAATGTATAACACTATTAAGACTCTTAAACATTGCTCGTTTAATTAAAATAGTAATATTTTATTGAAGATCATGTAATTCTTCATGCGGTTATTTTTTGTTTGTGATAAATTGGTCGCATCATAGAATGGAATAATAGAATTTATATGACAGTGTCAATTTGTTTAAATGTAACGTGTAGATTAGAAAAAAATAAACTCAAGAACTCTGTCTCTGAAAATTTACCTTCGAATAAAATTACTTAAACCCAATAAAAAAAAGTGTTTTATCAGTAAGCATTTACAGCGATTGGTAAATTCCATTGAAATCATCAACCAATGAATCATAGACTGCCATCGAAAACCTAAAAGCACTAGATAACCATTTCGTATTAGTATGAGTCACCTCAGCAATACTCAGCCACGATCTCACACGCAGGACTCGAACCTAGCACACTCTGTCTTACACAAACGCGTGTGGGACTTAAACCCAGTTAAAATATATTTCGTCTAATTTTATAATACTATCATTTTAATTATAGCTTTTTAGCGGTTAACCATAAACTCATGTAAAAAATAACATTTTTATCATCGTATATTCACAAGTATATTTGTACTAAATAAGAGTTTTCTTTCTTCAAAAAAGTTTTTATTATACACTCACACAATATAGTTTTATTAAACCAATACAGATTTACTTGTCCATAGCATTACTACCTAACCAAAAAAGCTAACTGTTGACAACTGCATTAATAAATTGGTTAGTACCATTAAAACTTGATCTTGAATTTACTTTAATGATACAAACAACCATATAAATATCTATGATATATTGTTCAAATTATGATATACCTGTCTAATCAGTCCCAACAAAACAATAATTTCAATATTGTTATCAATTTTTAATATTTAGATTATTGACTAGTGATTTTTTTCTTTTTCTCATTTATGATTAATTAATTTTGAGTTTCTAATAGATTTATCTGGTTATTTTACTAAGTAAAATATGATTAGAGTAGCTTAGGAAACACATTTATTAATGATACATACTTGAAGTTAAATAGTTTTGTTAGTATATTAAAAAGATCTAAATTATGTGAAGAAAAACATATTTTTCTCTAACTAGTTTCTTGTCAAAGTCTCTGCCGTAATAAAAACATTTATCAACTTAAAGATAAATCAATATCAAATATTATATAGTAGTAGATTAGTTTTTTTTTTAACGAATTTCCTAGAATCTGTTTAGAAACTAGTGATCAGTTAGTAAGTCAACTAATGATAGCTTAATTGAAAACAAGATTACATAGTAAATCAGTTACTACAACTAGTTAGGTAAGAATAAAGAAAAAAGGAATTGTGTAAGCTCGAAATATAGAAATTGAGAAGTGTAGGCAAAATTAAATAAAAGGTCAGAGTAAATCAAAATACTTCACAAAGCATTTTCTGTACACAGTGACTACGTTTATTTATGTATATTCCTATAGGTTCTGTTGTATGTAAGAGACGAATTCTAAACACATGAGGCAAGTTCGACAGAACTCTAATTTTGAAAGTTAACGTGGTATCGAGACGATGGGCAATATCAACTACATGTTCTAGAAAAAAAACTACTTGGTGCTTCCTTTTGCCTTTTGGTCAACAATGAGAGATAATGTTGATGTTCTTTTTAAGTTTATATGAATAGCGGTCGTGATAACTCCAATATAAATAATTTTACACTATTAATTGTATTGTAAGCAAAGATGGATAGTGGCTAGCAATGCTTGTAAATTAAGGCAATATCGAGGCATACGCACAGTATGCACATATGCCAACAAGAGACTGATCGATTTCAGTCCAAAAACATCAATGGGAAGATTCAAATAAAACAATATCAAGTGAATTAAACTTCAACCCATTGCACAAGCAAGTGGCTATCAGGACTCAGTAGCTAAGTGGATAACGCGATGGCGTTTGAAGCGAACGGTACTGAGTTCGAGTCCCAGAGTGAACATCAACTCTGAGATGCAGGTACATCCAGCTGACGAGTCCCAAACAGGACGAAACGCGCGTCCTGGATTCCACTGCTAGCCACTATCCATCTTTGCTTACAATGCTTGTAAATTAAGGCAATATCGAGGCATACGCACAGTATGCACATATGCCAACAAGAGACTGATCGATTTCAGTCCAAAAACATCAATGGGAAGATTCAAATAAAACAATATCAAGTGAATTATTAATTGTATTTCCTAAATTAACTAACAAAAACTGTTCTAAACTATTCAGTAATTTTAATGAGTAAATCAATAAGTGAAGTTAGGAACTTGCATCAAAATATCTATAACGCATATTTAATCAGTTTTTTTCTCTGGTGTGAAAAACTGATCAGAATAAGAATAGACAAAGTGTAGTCACATCTATGGTATCAGTTCATGAACGTTTACAATAACTCATGTTGGAAAGTTCAAACATCCTATTTATGGTCTATGGCATAGCCGTAGAATATAGACACAGACAATTGGAGGTATGACTGAAAATATGTGATAATGACATGTATATTCGTTTATGCTGAACTTTTATTAAAACATCCAGGTTTTGTCTCAATCTGACAGTCGAACTAACACTAAGTAATAGCCGTTTGAAAGATACGACACCTCTTTAAATTACTGAAATTCATGTGGACATTTAATATACCACTTCGTTCAACACAACTTCAATCATTTCATATCAAATGAAGTTCAGAGTTCCTTAATACTTCATCACTTGTTAAGTAATGTCGTGAATACAAATTGATTTGAAAAACACCTGAAAACACAAAACAAATTCAGTATGTAGCTTAATCTGCTATACTGTCTCTCATTATTTGATTGACCTAAAATATTTTCAGTTGCCAAGTCTCATTAGATATCATAATAAATATGTGTAGGTGTGCAATCCTAGTTACCTGGTTCAAAAATCGATTGTGTGAGATGTATTTTCATGCATTTAGTTTAAAATATCGTTCATTGATCCACTCAAATCATCAGTAGAACGGGTTTTTACCACATTTTAAAATTATGACTTCTCAGACTCAAAATTTCACTTATAAATCATCATATTTGATTATTTTCTAAGTCGGTTAATAGATACATCGATACATCGACTTGTGCAATTATTGTCAGAATGAATTAATATATCTGTTTCTACGTTGGTGTTTTGATTTCAAGTATTTTGAAAACAAGCCTATTTTTCACAATCATCTAACCTCACATTTAGTTGTTTGTTAGTAATTTCAAACAGCTTTAACCTGTAATGAAAGAAAATCTGAATATTTTGGTTCCGTTTTGATTTGGTCTACATCAGGTGTGTTCAATTTATTTTTTAAACAATAATTGTTATTTTGATAAAATCTGCAGTGTTATTTGGCTGAATAAATCGTTTGTGTGTGATTTGCTTACTCTTCAGTTATACAACAACTGATATTGTGCTAATTCACAATAATTTTCACTACAAATCTTGTTATGTTTTATTCACGTTCTTGATCAAGGACTAAGGTTGAGATACATGTGTGCAAGAAATTACTTTTTTCTCTATTAATGTACAGGCAAAATGATGTGTAGTAAGCTTTTCTGATGTATCTTTTAATGAATATTTCACTACATTATTTATTTGTTAGAATTCGCTTTTATTGCTGTAGCCACCTTCTGTAGCATTAACCGTTCCCTTTGGGATTACACATAAATACGTACACGTACGGTGGTTGGAGGTGGCAGCAGTCAGAGATTTTTTCGTTTGTGCATATCTATAATCCGGAAAGGTCGGATGTTACTTTACTATAGAACTGAACTACATTTTATGTAGTGTTACTGTCACAAATGTTACTACTGGTTTGTTTGAGCTGTGACGGATTTCTTTGTGGGAATGTGATATTTTTTACTTATCTGTTACCGATCATCATAATTAGATATCACAGGCTTATATACACTAGATTGAATTAAATCAAATAAACTTCTTTAAATAAAAAGCTTTATATATTCAAGACTTGGTTACATATATTTATTCTGTTTAAATACATATAGTTAGGCCTTGATAAAACTTGAGGCCATGCTCGAATTCAGTGTGATATATGCGTAATATTTGATGAACATCACATTCTTTAATATTCGTTTAGTGTATCGCTACTGCGGTATGACATTTAGCATTCATTTCTTCTTATTTCAACAAAAATTCATTTTATGTTATCACTATTTCATTTAATTAATCTTCATCAGTTAATCATTAAATCTTAGTATGATGTGTATATAAGTGTATTTGGTTGATAACTTGTTACTACTTCTTAAACGGTAAATAAAATCTTTTATCTTATGCCATGCAAATGCCGATTTTTTCTTATTCCAAGTACCAGTCAGTAATAATCGTAACAGCTTTGATATTTTTATACGTATACACAAAGAACTAGACAGTTATCATCGGTTACATTGAATGACGATCGTTACATTGGACTTTGGAATGAAGTTGATAATATGAATAATCGGAACTCAAATAAGTAATATACAAGCATCATAATTACTTTATGACTTATTAATCTTAAATTTGACCCCACGAAAGGGATGCGCATTCATACAATGTCCTCACAATAGGACAAAATAATTTA